AAAAAAAAAAAAAAAAAAAAAAAAAAAAAAAAAAAAAAAAAAAAAAAAAAAAAGAATAACACCATCAGAGATAACGATGGGACAAAATTATGTGGTAGACCATACTTGAGGGAGCTTGTGAGAGCCTGTTGAGGGCCAGTTTTCCAAAAAATCTTTTGTTACACAACAGATTCAGATGCAACAGTGATCTGGTTTTTCTTACAGGTCCATGTCCACATGCAGGGACAGGAAGCTCTGTTTTCTGAGAATATGCCCTTAAAAGATGTCATTGTTCACCTCACAAAACAAATGTCTGCCAAAACGCCAAGAGAAGCAAACATGGAGACACACTTCCAGACTTCCCAAGATACTTCCTTGGAAACAGGACAAGGTAAGTTAGGTGAATCTGCACAACTGAGGAATGTTCTATGCAGATTCCTTCTTGAGTACAACTTCAGTGAGTGTCTATTTTCACAGGATATGAAGATGAACAAGATGGCAGCAACAGTTCTCTGAAAACTACTCAAGTAAACAAAAATATTACTAATCAAGGCAATCAAATAGCTTCCCTAATCATTATCCAGGAAGAGAATAGTCCTAGGCCTGAAGAGGGAGGTGTTTCTTGTGCAAACCCACAGAACTCAAGAGGAGGAGAGCAAGGCACTGCTAGATCCCAGGAAGGGTCCATAAACGGAATCTCTTTTCAAGGTGTCCCTATGGAGATGGGACCAGGGTTTATCTCACAGCCAGAGCAGTCCTCCCCTGAGTATGCCCCTACCCACCAAAGCAATGAGGGAAACTACGCACGTGAGGTACATCAGGAAGGAGCCCATGGAGTTCGAAAATCATACAAATGTGAGGAATGCCCCAAGGTCTTTAGGTATCTCTCTCACTTACTAGCACACCAGAGAAGACACAGGAATGAGAGACCATTTGTTTGTCCTAAGTGTCAAAAAGGCTTCTTCCAGACATCAGACCTACGCGTGCATCAGATAATTCACACAGGAAAGAAGCCTTTCACATGCAGCATGTGTGAAAAGTCCTTCAGCCACAAAACCAACTTGCAGTCTCATGAGAGAATCCACACAGGAGAAAAGCCCTATACATGTCCCTTTTGTAAGACGAGCTACCGCCAGTCATCCACGTACCACCGCCATATGAGGACTCATAAGAAAATTATCCTGCCAAGTGTTCCCTCCACACCAAAAGCTTCCTAAGCTGCTGGTCGGTTGTAATGTGTATAAATACATATGCAAGTATGTATATTTCTGTAGAATATAAGATATGATTTCCTGATTATGCTTTCAATTTTTTGTCTTCATTAAAATGTAAGGCTAAGCAGAGCATGGAATTTATCAGTTTTGTTCACTAAAGTATTCCAAGTGGTTGGGAAAGTGGAACACTTCCAATAACCAATAAATTTCTGTTGAATAAATTAATGAATCCGTAATGTTGATATCCTTTTTTAAAAAAAGAGATGGGGCCAGCCGCAGTGGCTCACGCCTGTTAATCCCAGCACTTTGGGAGGCCAAGGCGGGGAGATCACCTAAGGGCAGGAATTTGAGACCAGCCTGGCGAGCATGGTGAAACCCTGTCTCCACTAAAAATACAAAACTCAGCAAGGTGTGATGGCACAGGACACTCTTGTAATCCCAGCTACTCGGGAGGGTGAGGCAGGAGAACTGGATGAACCAGGAGGCAGAGATTGCAGTAAGCCAAGATAGCACCATTGCACTCCAGCCTGGGCAACAAGAGCGAAACTCTCTCTCAAAACATAAAAATAAAATAAATGAATAAATAAAAAGAGATGGCCAGGCACGGTGGCTCACTCCTGTAATCCCACCACTTTGGGACGCCAAGGTGGGTGGATCACCTGAGGTCGGGAGTTCGAGACCAGCCTAACCAACATAAAGGAAGGAAGACTCCCATCTCTCTCTTTTTTTTTTTAATCTAATGGATCTCTGACACACCAGCTGCCAGTCTGACTGGGTGTTTTACGGGTCCTGCAAATAAACAATAATCCTCTGGACTCCACCCAACGCCGCACATCAGTGATTATATCCCTCCTCCTTCAGTGATTACAGCCAGACTTCACTGATGCCCAAGACCTCCCGCTGCAGGCTCTTCGGTTAAAGTCCCTGGATGAAAATGTTGGAACAAAGGCTTCTAGGACTTGTAGTCCATTACGCAGCGCGCATTGCTCTCTGGTAGCTGAAGTAGGTGGCGAGTTCTGCGCAGGTGCATATGCGTTCGCCTGATAAGCCGGATCGTGGAGACAAAGTGGGTGAAAGTGAGTCCCCCGACAGGCAGACGAGGGAAACTGGGCTGTAAACTGAGGCGGCAGGTCCGAGCGGAACGCGGTGACCCAGAGCCGCGGTCTCCCGAAACGTCCCTCCGGAGCCAGGCGTTCCAGCGGCCTCTAGCAGTTGCTGTCGTCGCCATCCAGCCGCGTTGCCTTCTGGGATCTAGTGTCGGTCGGCACTGCGCAGACTCCTGGACTCCCACACGGCACTTTCTTCCAGCTCAACTGCTGTGGGGCTTCGGACGTCGTTCCCGGAGTGTTGTGTACAGTATTTGGTTTCCGCTCTTAAGCTAGGGAAGACAAGGCCTCCGTACCGGGGGAAGCAAAAAGATCATCGTACTTACCATTACAATTGCCATCCTTTATTCCACGTGAGGCTGGCTTAACCTTTGCAGTAGACAGCCATGTTTCTCTTTAGGAGATTATTTTATATTTCAAGAAGAGTGAACATTAAACTATTGAATCTTGATTATATTCAGGAGTGACATATCCCTTTTTTTTTTTTTTTTTGGAGGCAGGGCAAAAGATCACAGAGCCTCAGGCCTCCCAAAGTGCTGGGATTACACTCATGCGCCACCGCACTTGTCTTTTTTTTTTTTTTTTTTTTTACGGGGCCACCCCAGAGGCAGTGTGCCTATAGGAGCAACCATTATACTTATTTTTTAATTTTACCAATCCCAGGTGGGAGGGGGATGAGGGCTGAAAAATTATTACCTGTTGGGTACAATGTTAACTATTCAGATGATGCGTACACTAAACGCCCAGACTTCCATCTCTACATAGTATATGCATGTTAAAAAGTCTGCGCTTGCCGGGCGCGGTGGCTCAAGCCTGTAATCCCAGCACTTTGGGAGGCCGAGGCGGGTGGATCACGAGGTCAAGAGATCGAGACCATCCTGGTCAAAATGGTGAAACCCCGTCTCTACTAAAAATACAAAAATTAGCTGGGCGTGGTGGCGCATGCCTGTAATCCCAGCTACTCAGGAGGCTGAGGCAAGAGAACCGCTTGAGGCCGGGCGCGGTGGCTCACACCTGTAATCCCAAAACTTTGGGTGACTTAGGTGGGCGGATCACGTGAGGTCAGGAGTTCAAGACCAGCCTGACCAGCATGGCGAAACCCCAATCTCAACTAAAAATACAAAACCTACCCGGGTGTGGTGGCGCATGCCTGTAATCCCAGCTACTCCGAGACTGAGGCAGGAGAATCGCTTGAATCTGGAGACGGAGGTTGCAGTGAGCCGAGATCGCACCACTGCACTCCAGTCTGGGCAACAGAGCTAGACTCCGTCTAAAAAAAATTAAAATGTCTGTAAAAATAAAATAAAGTTGCCAACAAAAAAATATTTTATTAATTCCTCCCTTAGAAGTTACAATAAACTTCAGGTGTAGTTAAAAGAAAAAAAATAAAAAGTTAACAATAAACATCTTCAAAAAAAAAAAAGTCAAAATAGTGGATATACTCGGAAGAGCTCTGTGGAGTTTAGGAAACTACATTACCCAGAGCGGAGATCGCTAAATGGCGGCGAAGTTGAACCAATGAGAGACCAGGATAGGCGCACTTCCGCGCATGCGCAGGACGACGGGGCGGTACTTCCTGCGTTCTCCTCGCGGTGGTTATTTTGGCTTCTCTCCTGTCTGTCCATCCCAACAGAACCTCCGCAGCTGGGGTCGCGACTGAGACACTGTACAGAGAAGGCGCCAAAGTGGGTCTGAGGCTCCTCGACGCCACCCGGGGTGAGCTGTGCCAGGCCCGGGATAGGGACCTCTGTGTTCGAATGCCTGCCCCGGTCGCCCGCCGCTCCTCGCCTAGTCCACCGAGTTCAATGGCGGCATTCGCGCTGAGGGACCCGGCTCGGGTGAGTGCTGCGTCTTTGGGTCTCGCCTGCCCTCTGCCAACACAAGCCCGAAGACCCAACGAGGGGCGTCTGCTCACAGCCCTGCAGCCTAGGCCGCAGTGCCTGTGAAAGGAAGGCGCTTGTGGGTGGGGCCCGTTTATGACGCCCAGTGTGTAGGGAAACGTGACGGGCAAGGGCACTGGCACGTGCAGAGCTTGGGGTTGCTGCTAAGCTAGGGGGATTCAGGAGCCTGGGACCCATCTCGTTTCTGCAGGAACATGGAGTGAGACAGAATTGCACCTAAGGAATTTGACCGTTCTGAGGAAACTGGCAGCCTTGAACATTTGTGAACAGATAGGGACACTGGGCTAGGATTTCCTAAAGCTTTCCAAACGTTGCTCAAGGGAAGAACAGGCTGAAGAGTGGTGATAGTAGTTAGACATAGGAAGATTGAGTTCTTGTCCAAGCTCACACAGCTGGTAAAGTCAGCACTGAGGACTGAGGTGCAGAGATAGTGCAGCCAGCCCAGGCCACCTGGCTCCAAAAGTGGCTTTTTCCACTGAGCCTGTGGAACCTAGTGGTGGTTCCTGACTCTCGTGGCTTTTCTGTTTCTGTAGATTCCCATAACTGTAGAATCGCTTATGGAGCCTAACTGGGGAGTGGTGTGTGTGACTGGTCCTGAATTCACCCATTACAGTCTCTGAACAAGTGGTGCTCTTGATCTGCTCTCCCACCACCCTTTTAGTAGACTTGATCCTGGATCTGCTTTCCCGCCACTCTTTTAGTAGCCTTGGGTCCTGGTACGTTGAGCAGATACAAGCCCAGAGTCCTAAGTCCAGGTCAGATTATACTAAGTTGTTGGCAGCTGGAGATGTAGAAGGTTGTCCAAGCCATAATTATCAGTATACGCAAAGATTTGGAGAGGAGTCTGAGATGGTTCAGGAACCGACAATTCTTTTCTTCTCATGAGATCAGGGAACAGAGGGGTAGAAGTCAGACCTGGAATAGTTCCCTGAGAAATTGAGTATCTATTCGTTACTTAACAGTAACAATAGGAGGTTTGGAGTGGAACAGGGAGGTGATCTGGCTTAGGTCTTTTAGGCTCCCGGTGGCTGAAGCATGGGAAACCGACCGATCTGGGGTAGTACTGAATTGTGTTTCAATTTGCCAACCACTCTCTGGGCCCGATGTGCTGAGTAACCAGTGGGGAGACCAAGGAGATGCTCATGGTGTGAGGCAGGGAGTAAGCTGTGGCGGAGTGTCACTCCCACACTATGAGGTGTGGTAGAGTGATGTGCACCTGGAGACAAGAATGTGAAGTGGCGGCCCCTTGGTGTTCAGGATACAAGGGTGAAGTTTGACCCTAGATTTTTGGTTGTGTTTGGGAGCCATGGTCTGCAGTGTTCCAGGAGAGTTTCCATACAAGAGAGTGTGTGGATCCTTGCATGGCAGGCTCAGAGCTTAGATATTTGACGAACTGCCTGTTATTGGTATGGGAGAACAAAATGACGAATGGGACCATGAGGAGAGAGGGGGCATCAGTGTCAGCAGGCCCTGTTTTATTATTTCATATGAGAAGATGTAGAGGAAGATCAACAGGGGTAGATGCAGCGGGGATGAATTTGGGATCCTAGGAAGATCCCAAATTAAGAACTCTATTATGAGTTCTTCATAATAGAATGAACTCATAGTGAAAAAGTTGTGTGACCTTTGAAGTTGTGGCTATGGGAATGCAGCTGTGTGAGACAGGTGTGGTTCAAAGAGTGACGTGCATGAGAAGAGAGAGAATAAACAGGGCTTTGTGGGTGAACTGGAGTCATAGGGGTAAAGGGTGAGTCATAGGGGTAAAAGGTGACCTAGTAGATCTTATCTTTCCTGTCTGTAAGGCCACTTCTCTAACTGGTGTTTATGAGTAAAAAGAGGTATACTGTACCTGCCAGGCCTAGAGCTTAGATAGCATCTATCTGTTCACATGCCTATTGTTGCTATTCAAGGACTTGGTCTCAGTGGAACTGTGGGGAGAGAGTAGGCATTGGTGGCACCATGGCTGGTTATCTCCTCCGAAGTGGGTAATAGGGTGACCCCAGGATGGATGTTGGGGGCGAGAGGATAATGAACTCCAAGTCTGATCGTGGATTGAACTATTCCTGCTATGACAGGGTATGACCTTTGAGGATGTGGCCATTTATTTCTCCCAAGAAGAGTGGGAGCTCCTTGATGAAGCTCAGAGGTTCCTGTACTGTGATGTGATGCTGGAGAACTTTGCACATGTAACCTCCCTGGGTAAGGTCTTAGCATCCCTCCCAGTGTTCTGAGTGGTCTCTGCCTTAGTTTTTGACCCCAGAGTTACTTCTGTCTCAGGAGTCTTGCTGTCAGCCTAGTAGATCTTATCTTTCCTGTCTTCTCCCTGTCAGGTTGACCGTGTACAGATTCATGGTACCTTGTGGCCCATGGTACCTTCTGACCTTTTCCTCTAGCTGCCATTTTCTTATGTACACCTATATGAGCAATTGCAGGCATTGTCATGGTTACTCCTTACATGAACTATGGAGCTCTTTGACAAGACCCTCCTTTGAGTGTTTTTTGTTTGTTTTGTGAGTGCTGGTTACTCCCCTGTCCTCTCTTTCCTAGAGACTTAAATTATTCATGTGTTATGTGGTAACACGGTGAGGGCTGCAGGGAGTGCCCTAGTTGCTTCACACAGTGAACAAGGCAAGATGGTCTCAGAGGAGGCCTGGCCTTGGTGAGTGACAGCTGTGGAAGGGCATGACATCATAGTTGTGTTAGAATCATATCAGGAACCTGCAATGTGCCCAGCAGCATTTTGGTGCAAGTGCCACTAGCCATACCTCGTTTCTACTTTTACTTCCCTATACTTATTACTGTGCTGAACTGTCATTTAATCGTCACTTCCAGCGTTTGGCTACCTCAACCCTCGTGGTCTCAGTGTGTCACTTGTTCTTCTCCATAGCTCACTTTTTTCAGTGTTCTTTAGTCTTGACTCACTGTATTATGAGGTATGCACACAGCCTCAAATAGTCCTCTTTGATCACCAGCTACCCGGCTTCAATTGGATTTACCTAGGACTGGACAACAGCAGCCTACTGCGCAGCGCAAACATGACTAGCAAAGTCCTTCTGAGGGCTTTGGCTGAGAGTGAGTTGGAGACCCTCCTCCTCCTCCTCCTTCTGTGCTGTACCTGATTCTTATGTCCTTTGTGTGATGAAATGACATCTCCTCTGTAATCTCCAAAAGCTCAGTACTTCAAAGCAGACTATTCCTCCCCAGTTCCCTTGTTCTCAGAACAGTTCCATGCACTCAGTTCTTGTGTTTCACACCTTTTGTGATATATCTTTCCACTTTCATGGAAGTCGCCATGCATTTCATCAGTATTTCTCTGCTTTCAGGTTATTGCCATGGGACAGAGAATGAGGCGATAGCTTCTGAGCAGAGTGTATCTGTAGGAGGAAAGTTACAGGTCAGGACTTCTCAGGGGGATACACCCACCCAGAAAACTCACCTCAGTGAGGTTAAGATGTGTGTCCCAGTCTTGAAAGACATTTTGCCTGAGGCTGAGCACCAAACCACATCCCCTGTGCAAAAGTCGTACTTGGGTGGCACAAGTGTGAGAGGCTTCTGTTTCAGTGCTGACCTTCACCGGCACCAAAAGCATAACAATGAAGAAGAACCCTGGAAAAGGAGTATGGATGGGGCTACATTTGTGACAGGCTGCAGATTCCATGTGTTGAATTATTTTACCTGTGGGGAGGACTTCCCAGCCTCCATGGACCTACTCCAACACCAAGCCACTCCTAGAGGTGAGGAGCCACAAAGTAGCAGCAGCAAGCATATACAGGCATTTTATGGGGCAAAAAATTGTTACAAGTGGGATGAATGCAAAAAAGCTTCAAGCCACAAACACACACTTGTTCAGCCTCAGAGTGTCTGCTCTGAAGAAGGGCTTTATGAGTGTAGTCAATGTGAGAAAGCTTTCACCTGCAAGAACACACTTGTTCAGCACCAGCAAATTCACACTGGACCAAAGACATTTGAGTGTAGTGAATGTGGAGAATCCTTTAGCAAAAAGTGCCACCTAAACTTACCTAAGATAGTTTACACTGGAGAAGGGCCTGATGAATGCAGTGATCATGGGAAAGGCTTTATCCATAAATCTGAATTCATTCACCACCAGAGACGTCACACCAGAGGAGTGCGTTATGAGTGTGGTGAATGTAGGAAAACCTTTAGCTACAAATCTAACCTCATTGAACACCAGAGAGTTCACACTGGAGAAAGGCCTTATAAATGTGGTGAGTGCGAGAAATCCTTTAGACAAAGCTCTAACCTTTTCCGACACCAGAGAGTTCACTCTGGAGAAAGGCCTTATCAGTGCTGTGAATGTGGGAAATCCTTTAGACAAATATTCAATCTCATTCGACACAGAAGAGTTCACACTGGAGAAATGCCTTATCGGTGCAGTGATTGTGGGAAAGCTTTTAGCTGCAAATCAGAACTCATTCAACACCAGAGAATTCACAGTGGAGAAAGACCTTATGAGTGCGGCGAATGTGGGAAATCCTTTAGGCAATTCTCTAACCTTATTCGACACCGCAGCATTCACACTGGTGATAGGCCTTATGAGTGCAGTGAATGTGAGAAGTCATTCAGCCGCAAATTTATTCTGATTCAACACCAAAGAGTTCACACTGGAGAAAAGCCTTATGAATGCAATGAATGTGGAAAATCTTTTACCCGCAAATCTGACCTCATTCAACACAGGAGAATTCATACTGGCACAAGACCTTATGAGTGCAGCGAATGTGGCAAATCTTTCAGACAGCGCTCTGGCCTCATTCAGCACCGAAGACTTCATACTGGTGAAAGGCCTTATGAGTGTAGTGAATGTGGAAAGTCCTTTAGCCAAAGTGCTAGCCTCATTCAACACCAGAGAGTTCACACTGGAGAAAGACCTTATGAATGTAGTGAATGTGGGAAATCCTTTAGCCAGAGCTCTACCCTCATTCAGCACCAGAGAGGTCACACTGGAGAAAGACCTTATGAGTGCAGTGAATGTGGGAAACTCTTTACCCACAAATCTAACCTTATTCAACACCAAAGAGTTCACTGGAGAAAGGCCTTATGAATGCAGTGAATGTGGGAAATCTAACCTCATTTAGCTGAGGAAAGTTCACACTGAAGAAAAGCCTTAAATGTGAAGGGAATGTGCTGTTTCTTTATTTGGTATAATAGCACTGGAGGAGACTGTGGGAGCCATCTTCCTAAATTTAAACTTTCAGCATCTACAATGGGGGATTCTATGTAAGCTTCAGGTATGTGGGAAGCTTTGAGGAGGTTCATTGTAATTTGTAATCTGTGCAGGTCCATAGCCTGATTTATGTCACTGCCCATTTCTGAGGCTGAAGCCATTTTACCTCTACCACCTGGCAGGTATACACAATGTGCATGAGTCACTTCCCCACAGTGCTCAGAGAAATAAACCTCTGTATTCTCCCATTTGCTTGGGGAAATTATTAATAGCCCAAGGATGCAGGAGGTACTCATGTCCTTTCTCTGACTTTAGAGTATAGACCTGTCCCATTTGTGGTCCAGAGGAGTCAATCTGAGTTACACTGTCAGCTTTCTAAGAAGGATTACTTTTTTTGGAGACATTGTTGGTCTCACATGATGCTTGTAATGAATTTTTCCAGATTCTGATTCACCAGCTTGGAAACTGCTTGGTGCACATTGCTCTGATTTGTGATCTTTTTATAAAGGTTTTAAAAAGGCTGGGCACCGTGGCTTAGTCCTGTAATCCCAGCACTTTGGGAGGCAGTGGCAGGCAGATCAGCTGAGTCCAGGTCAGCAGCCTGACCAACGTGTTGAAACCCATCTCTACTGAAAATACAGAAGTAGCCCGGCATGGTAGAAGGCGCCTTTAATCCTAGCTACTTGGGAGGCTGAGGCAGGAGAATCACTTGCACCCAGGAGGCAGAAGTTGTAGTGAGCCGAGATCGCACCATTGCCCGGCAGCCTGGGTGACAAGAGCGAAACTGTCTTAAAACAAAGATTTTTAAAAATTTATGCACCTTTAATCTTGGGGTTTCTATTCATTGTATACAATGATTTATAAGCAGAATAGTGATATGAGCATGAAGGGGTGGACAGATTTTGTGGAGATCTCAAATTTTCTGTGCTCATAAGGAACAATGTGATGGCAGAAGCAGGTTTTTGTCCTGTATTGATGTAATTGGCCTGCTGCCCAAGGCCTCAAAGTAAAGACTGCCAGGCTTTGTGTTCCTGTATTGTGATCTGTTGCCATTTTTGTGAGGTCAGAGGCCACCATGAAAAGGAGGCAGTTGGTCAAAACTCACGTGCTGATCAGTAGTGGGATCGCGCCTGTGAATAGCCACTGAGTCCAGCCTTAGCAACATACTGAGATGCCATCTCAAAAAGAAAAAAAAGAAAAAAGAAGAGGCAGTTGTGACAATGTGCAGTGCTTCCGTGAACGTAAATTTTGTTCAGTTGTTCACAAGAAATACCACATAATTCTTAGCACCATTGAGGGGAATCTGTTTCCCAGGTCCTGCAAAGGAGCCATGTGCCATGATGTGTAAGTCAGTGTAGGCTGATTCCATTTGTTTTCAGACTATAGGTGTAGAGGTGAAGTTCCAGGCACAACTGTAATTGGGACCAAAACTCTAGGCAAATGGGGAGTAGAGAAGACTGCAGTAAATTAGATGGAATGAACTTCTAAAAGTTCATCTACAAATTTTCCAGTGAATATGGCTGTGTGGGATCAGTGAGTACAGAAATTCTCAGGATCTTTGTAACCATTTCTTATGGCTGAGATCAGTGTCAGAAAAGAGTCCATAAAGGTTTTGTGGCTCCTTATATCCTCTATGGGCTGTTCATCTCAAGGCCATTGCTATGCACGCAGGAGATTAAGAATAGAGAGAAGTTGAGAGAGAATTCTGCAATTTAGGAATGTGGCTTTTGTGACTCAGCCAGTGTTTTCCTATTAATTCAGGTGGCAACAGTCTTCATTGCTTGCCAAAATTTTCTGCCCCTGAGGCAGGGTTGCCTCTCTCAGGGCATAAGGAGAGAGAGAGATGGTAGAGTCCGTATCAGGTTACCAACCTGACTTTCAAAAAAAAGAAGTGGAACATCTAGGCTCTTAATTTTGAACCACTTTTTAAAGCTTTATGAAGGTCTAATTTGTATAATTGACATGCAACAAAGTATCCATATCCAAAATGCACAGTTTGGTAAAGCCATGAAACCATCATCACAACCATGAAAATGAATTTATCTGTCACCCATATATTTTTTGTATCCTTTTATAATCTCTTTCTGCCTTCTCCAGCTTTTCATGGATCAACTGATTTCCTTTACAGTAAATTAGTTTGCATTTTCTGGAATTTTAAATTTTATATATATACATACACACACACACGGACTTTTTTTTCTTACTGATTTTCTTCATGCTGTATAAGTATTTTGAGATTCAGCAATGATGAATATTTGTGTTGCTGAGTCTCATGCTGTTCTGTGGATAAGTCATTGTTTATTCATGTGTTTAGGGACATTTATGTTATTTATAGATTTTTGTATATTACAAATAAAGCTGCTGTAACTACATGCGTTCGGTTCTTTATGTGGACCTGTTTTATTTTCCTTATGTTAATAACTCAAACTGTAATGTGTAAGTTACAATGTAGGTGAATGTCTGACATTTTAAGAAATGCCAAACTGATCTAAACGGATGTTTCCTATTGTATTCCCACCAAGGGTGTATGAGAATTCCAGTTCTTCTACATCCCTGCCAGAGCTTCATATGGCCAATCTTTTTTATTTTAGCTCTTTTAATATATGAGTTGTGGTTTGTTTAGAAAGAAAGGCTTAAAAATATATATATATATGAATAGTGGTATCTCACTGTGGTTTTCATTGCATTACCCTAAAACTTCATGATGTTAAGCATTTTTTAATGTTTTTATTTGCCACCTGTGTACCTTTGGTAAAATATCTGTTCATATGTTTTCTCTGCTTTTTTTAAGATGAGTTTATATTTAAAAAAAATTAAAACACAGTGCCAAATAGCTATCTTTAGTAATAAAGACATGTTGGAATTTTCCTCATTATTCTATGATACAATTTCTTTGTTGTGTTTAACAATTCTTTTTCTATCGGAGGAAATTTTTTCCTTTTTTTTTTTTTTTTGAGACTGGGTCTCACTGTTGCCCAGACAGAGTGCTGTGGTACCATCATGGCTCACTACAGCTTCAACATCCCAGGCTCAGGGGATTCTACTGCCTCAGCCTCCCAAGTAGCTGGGACTACAGGTGTGTGGCTAACTTTGCCTGGCTAATTTTTTGTTTTTGTAGAGATGGGGTTTTGCCATTTTGCCCAGGTTGGTCTTAAACTCCTGGACTCGAGATCCTCCTGCGTTGGTCTCCGGAAGTGCTGGGATTACAGATATGAGCCACCATGCTTGGTCCTCAATTTCATTCTCATTTTTTCATTATTTATTTTGAGACAGAGTCTTGCTCTGTTGCCCAGTCTGGAGAGCAATGGCGCAATCTCGGCTCACAGCAACCTCTGCCTCCCAGGTTCAAGCAATTCTCATGCCTCAGCCTCCCAAGTAGCTGGGACTGCAGGTGTGCACCACCACACCCAACTCATTTTGTATTTTTAGTACAGACAGGGTTTTGCTATGTTGGCCAGGCTGGTCTGGAATGCCTTGTCCACCAAAAGTGTTGGGATTACAGGTGTGAACTACCATGCCTCACCCAAATTTTTAATTTTTTAAATTATTATTATACTCCTGGGATATATATGCAGAACGTGTTACATAGGTATACACATGCCATGATGGTTTGCTGCATCCATCCCCCATCGTCTACATTAGATATTTCTCCTAATGCTATCCCTTCCCATATCCCTACCCCCTGCTGTCCTGCCTCTGGCCCCCCGACCCCCTGACAGGCCTCAGTGTGAGATGTTCCCCTCCCTGTGTCCATGTGTTCTAATGAAAGCACATGGTTTAATACCTACTTATGAGTGAGAACATGCTGTGTTTGGTTTTCCGTTCTGGTGTCAGTTTGCTGAGAATTTCCAGCTTTACCCGTATTCCTTCAAAGGACATGAACTCATCCTTTTTGATGGCTGTATAGTGTTCCATGGTGTATATGTGCCACATTTTCTTTTTATCCAGTCTGTCTTTGATGGGCATTTGGGTTGGTTCCAAGTCTTTGCTGTTGTAAACAGTGCTGCAGTAAACATATGTGTGCATGTGTCTTTATAATAGAATGATTTATAATCCTTCGGGTATATACCCAGTAATGGGATTGCTAGGTCAAATGGTATTTCTATTTTTACATCCTTGAGGAATCGCCACACTGTCTTCCACAATGGTTGAACTAATTTACACTCCCACCAACAGTGTAAAATAATTCCTATTTCTCCACATCCTCTCCAGCATCTGTTGTCTCCTGATTTTTTTTTTTTTTTTTTTTTTTCTGAGGCGGAGTTTCACTCATGTTACCCAGGCTGGAGTGCAATGGTGCGATCTCGGCTCACCGCAACCTCCGCCTCCTGGGTTCAGGCAATTCTGCCTCAGCCTCCTGAGTAGCTGGGATTACAGGCACGCGCCACCATGCCCAGCTAATTTTTTGTATTTTTAGTAGAGACGGGGTTTCACCGTGTTGACCAGGATGGTCTCGATCTCTTGACCTCGTGATCTACCCACCTCGGCCTCCCAAAGTGCTGGGATTACAGGCATGAGCCACCGCGCCCGGCCCGTCTCCTGATTTTTTTAATGATCGGCATTCTAACTGGTGTGAGATGGTATCTCAATGTGGTTTTGATTTGCATTTCTCTAATGAGCGTGATGATGAGCTCATTTTCATGTTTGTTGACTGCATAAATGCCTTCTTTTGAAAAATGACTTTTTATGTCCTTCACCCACTTTTTGATGGGATTGTTTTTTTCTTGTAAATTTGTTTAAGTTCTTTGTAGATTCTGGATATTAGCCCTTTGTCAGATGGGTAGATTGCAAAAATTTTTTCCCATTCTGTTGGTTGCTGGTTCACTCTAATTATAGTTTCTTTTGCCTAGGTTTTCTTCTAGGGTTTTTATGGTGTTAGGTCTTATGTTTAAATCTTTAGCTTGGGGGAGGGGGTAGCGTTACTAGTTAGTAATTTTCTTTTAAAAATTCCTCACCACCTATTTCAGATTTTCACATTTCACATTTTCGTGTGTGTGTGTGTGTGTGTGTGTGTGTGTGTGTGTAGACAGGGTCTCCTAGGCTAGTTTCTAACTCTGTATACTAGATATTGATGAAACGAGTAATTAAGATCTGTTCCAAATGGACAGGTTTATGGTGGTGACAAACCGGGAAACACAATGTGTCTTTTGCTATCACAACATGGGCAGCCTGGAAATAAACATTACAGGTATTGTATGTGCTGGCTGTGAGACAGGTGTGTAGTGGTGACAGCACACCCTAGCAACATACACATACATCTGTGGCATACACTGACAGATGTAGGAAGCTGACACTCCCCAGTACAGTCTGGAGCCATACATGTAAGCCACATCCACAACAGAAAACATGTATGAGAAACATGAAACACACAGGCATGTGCAAAACACGCAAGGGACCTGTGAGACAGGATGGAGATACTGAAACACCATAGCAGTCTCCACAGAGACTTGTGGGACAGACATGTGATAGGAACACCCAAAAATCTGATGTGTGGGCCACAAACACAATTGCACTATCTCTGTGTGCCAATTGTGATGCGGCAGGCACAACCTGAGGTGATAATATTACTACCTACACCCATCACTGCATACTACATGATGTACTGGTGAGAGTCAGATCAGAGAACTGGTTCATAACACCAGCACAACCTGGAAATGTACATGTGTGAGCAGGTTTGATCTAGGCAGGAGAAGAGGATGTTTATGGGCTTTATAGAAGGGCTCAGCCCAGATTCAGCCAGTTTCAGAAGTAGCTGGTCAACTGCAGGTGGGAGAAGGAACACTCTTGGGACTTAGTACTCATTGTCAGTCATTGATTTTACACAGGGGTGGGGAGGAGCAGCTGAGACTAAGGACACCTTCTAGAGGGATGGGTGGGGAAAGCCATGGGTACAGAGACATGGTGATGATCATATTGGACATTCTCAACTCTTCATCTTCCCTCCAGTGTCTGTAATAGTGACTGATAACTGAGTGACAGTTCAGTGTGGTGTGGAGGAAGCATCCTCTGGTGGTGTTTAGATGCCAGAAATGAATGAATTGGACCCTAGGAATAAATCATTGCATGTGGTTTTGACAGAGTGATGTGGTGGAGTGCCACCAGTTACCCTGTTGGAGGTGTTCAGGCAGTGGCAATGGTGACCATGCGAAGCAGGTTTATGGGGAAGGACTTGAGGCCCCAGGTAACAATGTCCCAGTGTAGTTACTTATGTTCTGGGCTTAGCAGACTGGGCAGAGAGGAATCTGCCTAGAGTCTCCTTCATTTCCAGTCAGGGGAATAAAGGGAACAAGGGAAGCCACCCAGTTCAGTGTAGACCTCAGCTGCTTATGTGAGAAACACTCACCCATCCAAACCCAAAGAATAGACTTAGAGGCGTGAATAGTGAAAGTGAGACTTTCAGTAACAGTCTTGCAAGATTGGGTGTCTGGCAGGCAGTTACAACATCTGGGGCAGTTATAACATCTGGGGCAGTTAACAACAGGTAATTTATCTCCTCGCTTGCAAGTCCCTGTCCCTCCCCCCGGAGTTCCTCCTTGGTCAAGTACTACGGGGTTACAATCTTCCCAGATGTCACCTAAGTTTCATTATCTCACTTAAAAGGTTAAATGCCAATCCCCTTCCCTGCTTAAGTTTTGATTTCCCAATAACAAAACTTTCTTCCTTTTTATGGGCTGACCCCTCATCTACATTCTGTGCTCATCATGACCTAGGTGCATGAGCCATGCAGTTTGTTACATTTGCAGGCTGGCTGCCAGTACTTAGATTTATCAGGCTTTAAAAATGGGCTATTTAGCCGGGCGCTGTGGCTCACGCCTGTAATCTCAGCTCTTAGGGAGGCAGAGGCGGGAGGATAGCTTGAGCCCAGGAGTTCGAGACCTGCCTGGGCAATATAGCGAGACCCTGTTTTCCACAAAAAGGAAAAAAACAA